GAACACATCCAAGAAGCATCTGCAAAATCTGCTCTTTAAACAATTTTTGTAGGTTGGCTATAGCATAATCTCACCATGATTTAAGTAGGCCCCTACTTATTAAGTCTGACAAGTTTCTTTAGCATTCCAATTTAGTCAATAAGGTCATCTCAAAAGATTAAGACTGGTGGTGAGGACAGGCCCAAGAAGGATAGTTTAGGCTACTACCATGCCTCAGCAGGGGCAGCAAAGTTTTGAGAGGAAGGACCCCAGCATGGCCCTCAGTCCCCATTCCTGATGGCACTGTGAAGATCCTAGTGGCCCAAAGTCTATACTTGCAGACCGACCAAGGAAGTCAAGCAATGGTTGCATAATCGTTAATGATTGCTTACTCCATTAAGTACCTTCTCTCAGAAAAAAGAAATTTTATTTACATACATAATACGAGAGAGAAAAAAAATTATATAAAAGGCTTAGCCTGTCTGTCTGTCTAATGCTCTTGCAGCACTCTGATTGGTTAGTTATACAATCAGAGTGGAGTGCCACCACGACAGTCTCAACCCTCTGCTCAGTCTCCTCCAGGGAGCGAGGCAGGGGGCTGGAAGGGGCAGTGCTCCCTGGAGGTGGCAGAGCACCGCCATGATGGCAAGGATAGACAGGACAGATGGGGGGGGCGGGGAAAGCGAGGTGAGTGCTGCTGGTCTTGCCCCCTCGCTGTCCCCCCTGTCCTGGCCCTGCTCTTTGAAGGCAGCAGCAGCATGGGGTGATTGCTTACAAAGACACTGGACCTGGGGCAGCAAGCTGACATTGATTCGAAAGGAGGACTAGTTCCAGGCCTAACAGCTAGAGCAGCACTTCCTTCCCCTTCATCAGGCCAGTACAGAGGGGATGCAGAATGCAATGTATACATATCACTGAGTCAGAGCAGTCCATAAAAAAAGGGTAAAAAACTCCAGTCTGGCTACTATCTAATGAATGAGAAGTGGGTGGTCAAGTCTCAGCTTGCTGGTATACTGATGACCTTGGGCACTCCAGTGAGAAGTCAGACAAGCCAAGATAACTCCTAGATTTTTTTAATACAACACTATACACATAAAAATCACTCTAGAAGTCAGCAGCCTTGTTCCAACTTTTAAAAATAATCTTGTAGCCAAAGCCCTCACAGATGGAACTTTTAGCCAGAGTATGACCTGTTGCAGAAGGTGACAGACCTAGAACAAGGCAGTCTTGAAGACCAATGTTTTCTGTTCAAATACAGGTGGAAAGCAACACAAGTCAGAGACTAAAGTCGAGGGAAAACAGCAGTCAGCGGAGCAGAAGAAGAGCAGCAACAACTAATCCACACTAAAAAGTAACATAGGAACATGCCAGGCATCACAAGTTCCATGTCCATGTCAGTGAAGGATTAAAGTAACTGGAGAAATCATGTCCTGGACACTGATTTAAGACTCTACTGTAATATCACAGCTCTTTTGTCAGTCTTCATTCACATTTAATTTTGAAGATTCACCATTACTGGAGCCAGCAGACACACCCACTCCTTATTTAGCTTCCTAAAAACTTTCCATTAAAAACCATGATCCCTCCACTACAAAAGCACTGTAAATAATATTAATCAAGATTGGCTTTAGCAATAGGTGCAGCAGCTGAATCGTCTGTTGACTTTGGAACAAAGTAAACTGACAGAGCAGTGTTCATGTTTGCAACACTGATGGGGGGGGGGTTTAATGGTACGTAGCCAGGAAAAAAAAAAGAGTCTACTTGCCCTGAGGTAGTGAATTTTTTTGTCCTCTGTAGAAGCACCATTTTTTAATTGTCTGCACCACACTACAGTGGAAAGCTTAACCCAGGCATGAAAAGGTGAATGGCAGAGGGGAAAAGTAGAATGATATACTTAAGGTAACATTTGCACTGAAGGCTACAGCTTTGTTTTGTCAGGTTGTGTCAGTAATAAGATACACTACATAACTACAAAAAAGATCCATTACAGACTTTGAAAGAACACTTCTAGGCAATACTGAAACCACATTTGTAAATGCAGAGTATTATACCCATACATATAGTAAATAAACAGTTTGCTTACCTGAACCCCACCACTGGTCCCAGTTTTTTGCCTGATTACATTATAACAACAATATACATTCCAGTTAAGTGTGTGAACTGCTAAGTGTAGAGTATCTTTTTCAAGCCCCACTGTCTTTGTAACATGCACTCCATTTAACTGCATAACAACTGGTACTAGAAACAGTAAAAGGAAAGCAAGCAGCTGTCACTGGGCTGGTATTAGAAACCTGGAAATTTATAGAAAGATGGTAGCCCAGAAACTGATTAACTCCCCTCCTTTTAAAGCTGCCAATAGCAGCACTAAAACTGGCTATTAGAAGCCTTGAAAATGACTGGAGCTGGTCAGGGAGCTTAGAGACATCACTGATAAACTAGATGGGTCATTCTGTATTAATCAGTATTGTTTTAGCTCAGGTAAATACATAACCTTTTCTCAGTTCTCACGCTATGCACTTACAGTACGCAGGAAACCTTTACAACAATTAACCCCATTAAAACTTAAACTTTAATTAAAATATGAAACTCATTAAAAATGTTTACATTAATTACATTTAGCACAAGGAGTTCCCCTGAAGGTTTGGCCACAAATACTGACATGGTTTGTTTTTGTGCAAAATTGTCAGGTAAAATAAAGATTCAATAACCCCCCTCCCAAAAAAACTCAACTCTTTAGTTGGAGATACAGAAAAAAAAAAAAAGAAAAAAAAATTACATGCACACAAACTGTGACACACTAAAGCAATTAGGAACAAGTTTAAGTCAAATCAAAACAAGAAACTGGCCTCACAGCCTTTCATTGGTTTAAGAACAGATTTAAAGTTAAATCTAAGATGCCCCGATGTTCACAGCAGCCTCAGGACTGACTTAAGTTAAGTTAAATCAATACAAACCATGTTTAGGTAAGGTCTTACTGGAGAAGAACCTAGGATGCATTATCAAACACAATCTATTGTTTCCTTTTTGCTTCTTACTGCTAGAAATAGGCAATAACATGTGAAGCATTTAAAAAAAAAATGCATTTGTTGCAGTGGTAAAGGCTTTTTAAACTACAAAATATTTTGACCAAAGTCCTTTAAGTTACTGAGCTTTTGAAAGTAACTAATTAAAACTGTCATGTGATTCTTCATTTCTTTAATGTATCCACTGGTGCAGACTTAACAAAATAAATACTAATGCCATCAAAAAAGTTTCTTCTTCTCTTTGCAGACCAGAAGATCAAAAAGGGAAAAAAATAGCTAACAAGGTATCCCGACTAGGTACAACACCAAAACATTCTGGATAGATATTACATTGCATTTCTCTAAATATGTTCAACTTAAACAAAAAAGCAAAACAACCATATTGATACTGAGGCCTATGCATACTTAAAGTGCAAATAAGATATGAATGGCAAATGTAGAATTGGTTTCTAACATAAAGTGATCTGTAGTACTTTAGGAAGCAGGATAACTTAAGCTTTTGTGAGCCTGAGCTCATTTAATCAGCAACGTACACTATAGTACTACATATTACAGTAGTAGTCATAAACATTGTACATAAATTTCCTGGGAAACTGACACAGGCTAAATTATTGAGACAGAACTGATTGTCTTGATAACCTACATGCTTTCGGTAAAAGAAAGACCATTGTTTTGTTAAATCTATGCACTATACTTAAGCAGCAAGTCTGGTCTCATTGGCAGTTCAAAACAGAAGGTGAACAGAAAACTCAGTAGTGGCGATGCAAGGCAACAAACTCATTTGGAGTTCAAATATTTTTAGGCTGGGTTTTCCAAGGTATTCAGCACCTTATACTGACTGTTAGATTAGGAGGTCAAGAGAAAAAAAAAAACAACTAACTACACAACTTGCATTTCTTTCAATTAGACTTACAACAGCATTTAAACAGATAAACAGCAAGACAATATGTGCTCTCACTGGTAGTAAACCAGGTTCTTCTTCATAACACACTTTACATTAGAAGAAAGGGAATGTTTCAACTCGAGCGCCCATGAATCCCAACCTTAAACATTCCCTTTTTTAACAAATGAATGCATAAATGATTTTACCTATAACGAAGCTGCAATTCAAGTTACCTTATGCTTTCTGCAAATCACTCAGGACCAAACACCTCACCGGGCTCCACCTTCTGCCCTGCTTGGTCTAACAGTTACCCACCAATTCAGTCTCAACCTCCTGCACATGAAGGTCTGCCCTGGCTGCAGTGCAAACCCCCCTATAGGACAGCAAGCGACACAAGTGCCAAGGTGGGTCTCCCACCAGTGTACACCCCCACCCGAAGGCGCCCTGGTGGAAAGCAGGATGCCAGGGCAGTACAAGAGGCTGCCTCTTAGGTGACCTGCTTTTGTCCAGTTTGGGGCAGATCCATTTCAAAAGCTGTGCACTGACCCTGCGGCCGCCAGGGCGCCCCAAGAAGCTCCCACGAGCTCTTCCCGTCCCTCTCTCTGCCCGCCTCCAAAGCCGGGACCTGCTCCCCGTCCTCCCTGCGAGCTGAGGGGGCGCCTCTTCCCCCCCACCCCCCGCTCCTGTGGAGACTTTTCTCGGGGCAGCTCCGCGCTTGGGGGCGCCATGACATGCGGGGGCGGCCTCCAGACCCCAACTCGTCGCAGGCGGCCCAGGCGGGGAAGTTCCCGCGCGGGCCGGGCCGGGCCGGGGGATTTGTACCTGCGACACGAGCGGCACGAGAGTCTGCTCCACTGAGCGCGTGCGGATGTCGAGCGCCGCGCCCGCGCCCAGCGCCCCGGGGGGAGAGGCGGACGACGAGACACCGCTGCTGCTACTGCTGCTGCCGCTGCTACTGCCCGGGGACGTGGCCATGGCGGCGGCCCGCGCCCCCAGCCCCGAGCACAACCGCCTCCCTCAGTCCTCCCGCCCGCGGCGGCCGCGGGTGTGCGCCCAGCGCAG